CTTCGGCCCCTCCTGCCTCCCTGCCAGAGGTACAGCAGACTCGGCGCTCTTTAGGGGAGAACCTTTTCTATCAGTTTTTTTTTTTTTTTTTCTTATTACAAAATAACATGTGGGCACTGTAGAAAGATTTAAAAACCAACTATGAAAACCAACAGGCAAAGTTAAAACTTACCCACAATTACTTTCTCTTTCTTTTGTGGTTCACTAATGTTTAGCATTTTCCTAACTGTTTTGGGGGAGCAGGAAAAGCAAGAAGGATCCCCGCCACCCAGAGAGAAGCACGTCACTACCTAAGAAACAGCGTTGCAGCCCTCAGCCCAGGTAGATGGACAGAGAAGGATGGATCAAAAATGCAGATTTTTGCTGTTTTACAAAAAGTTCTACTTTCCGCATGGTCCTCGGAGCGGTTTTACCTGCTCAGCAACAAACCAGTCCTGAGCATCTTTCCAGAAGAAAACACGGATGAGCACATCCTCTGATGGTTTATGTACGACTGTGTCGTCCTGCTTCTCAGAATCCCCAACTGTTGGACACACGGGGCATTGGGAAGTTTGCATTAGAAGTTGTGCTACAACGTGCTCCAGGAGGAAGGGCCCCGTCCGTCCTGTCACCGTAGCCTCCAGGCACCTGGTGCAGGCCTTGGAGCAGAAAAGGCTCTGGGGATGTTGGCCGAGTGACTGAGCCAAGGTCAGCCCCTGGGAGCAGCCTGGCAGCTGAGTGCCGACCTAGGCCTCCCCGGCCCCACGAGGACTCCAGGGCCTCAGCTGCTGTGGCCTTCAGCTTCCCCAGGGCTTTCCTCTCTCTCTCTCTTTTTTTTTTTTTTTTGTCTTGGTCACTCTAACCACACCCTCACTTCTCCCCAGCCCACCCCACTTCTGCCTCGGCCCTGGTGCTGAGTGGAAGGGGTGGGCCTCCGCCCCAACCACAGAACCCCAAGTAAAGAGAAGCTGTATCTGCAAACAGTCCCTTACCACGCCCCACCTTCCAGTTGGGTGGCCATGCCTCCGACATCCCCCACTAAGCATCCTGGGGTGGCCACTGCCGTACATGTCGCCCCCATAGCCAGGGCGTGCTGACTGCCGGAGCAGGGAACAGGCAGGTGGCCACGAGAGGACTCGCAGAGGAAGTGAGGCCTCAGCTGAGCTCTGAAGGATGACCAGGGGTTCCCCGTGGGCAGAGGGCCAGACCCTACCGTTGGGTGGTCCAGGGAGTCCAGGGAACGGAATGGAGGCCGGTGCAGCTAGGACCCAGGGTACAGGGAAGGAGGGGAGCTGAAGCCCCAGCAGAGCCCAGGAAGGGGGATTCCTGGAGGCCCCTGCAGCCCAGGCCCCCCCAGTCCACCAGGACTTGGGCCTCAGCAGCCCAGCCTCCCTCACCACCAGCCAGGTCCAAACGTCTACCCAATGGAGCTCACCTCAGCAGCCACCGCTGAGCTTGGCCACCCCACCCCAGGCACCGAGGGACAGTCCCCAGGGTCACTGAGAACTCAGCCCCTTCCCTTAGCACCAAACCCTACTTTAGTCTCCCCCTGCCCAGCCTGGGGCTCTCTCTCTGTCCTGCACAGAGCCTTCAACACAAGTCCCAGCCAAGTCCCAGCTAAGGCCCAGCCCCATAGCTGGTACCCAGCTTCTGACCCAGCACCCAGACAGCTGTCAGAGTGTCCTAAAACCCAGTCTTGATGTCTTTCTCTCTCTCTCTCACCCCCCCCCCCCCCCCCCCCCCCCAACACAGGCACCAGTTAAACACCTTTCCTGGCCACGGATACGTTTAGTGGGGCCTGCTGTGTGCCAGTCTGGCCGGCACTGGGATACAGCACCAGGTGGGTCCCTGCCTTCTGGCCGCCAATCAGACTAGCGGACCAGACAGATGTGAAGCACATACATTTCGCATTACAAACCTCACAATTCGGTGAGGTTGTGTTGCATCGAGGGGATGGGTAGTGTTATGGGAGTCTCGGCTCTGAGCTCTCTGCAGACCAGCCCGCATCTGCTTTTCCAGCTCTGTCTCCTGTGACCCACACCGCCACACCTCCGCTCACAATAGGCCCCCCCCACCAGAATGCCCTCTGTGTCTGCCTGTCATTCCAGGCCCCGCTCAAAGGCCACCTCCTCCCCAGAGCCTTCCCTGAGCCCCTGCCCAGAGTCCATCATCCCGCTTCCCCCACAGCTTGTCCAAGATCCCTGTTTCTACTAGGTTAGAAGTTTCTTTTCTTATTTTTAGGATTTTTTAAAGTCATCTCTGCGCACAGCGTGGGGCTCGAACTCACGACCCTGAGATCAAGAGTCTTGTTCTCCATCCACTGAGCCAGCCAGGTGCCTCTGGCTGGAAGTTGCTTAAAGGTAGGATTCTCACCTTTATTATCTCCACACACCTGCAAATGCTGTGTATGTAGCATGTGCTTACTGCTTGTCAGACGCAAGGAGAACATGTCGCCCGACTTGGGTGCAAGTCTTGGACGCGCCTGGCCCTCCCTTTTGTTCTCCTTCCAACCCCAGTCCTGCCAGGGATTCTGCTAGGAAGGGCCTCTCTGTGCCCACCACCACACCCGTGAGCACAACCTCAGCGCCCCCTGAGCCAGGAACACAGGTGCAGGGCTCCACTTGCTCTCTGGGGCCTCTCTGGTCCAGGATGGTGGGCAGCCGACGCTCCCTCCTCCAGAGCTGGGGGCCAGCCCCACACTCGGCTTGCCTTAGAGCCCAGGGAGCCCCAGGGAGTGACAGCAACACAGCCCTCCTCCGCCGAGCACAACTCATCCTCCGCCCATCCCATCGTCCGGGCCCTGGCCAGCTTGCCAGCCTGCTCTGAAGCCCTTGCCTGTGGGCTCGGGGTCCAACTGTCCCCCACAAGCCCCCATCTCCTGCCTGCCCCTCCCCACAGACAGTTGGGGACAGAAGGAAATCCAGAACAAGGCAGGAGGCACGAGTCGTTGCGAGGGTCCACCTTCCCTCCACTAAGAAGGGACAAGCAGCCTGGCATCTTTCCAAGGCCTCGCTGCCGTCAGCCTCCCCTCTTCAGCACACAATGGACAGGGCCTGCAAACACAACGATCATCACCCCCTTTGAGCCTTCCCTGACCTCAAGCCCCCTACCCACTCTGCCCATCTCTGCTCCCTTTCCAGCAGAGCTCTGGAAGAGGGACGTGAGGGGTTGTGCTAGAGTGCCCTTGGCTCTGCGGTCCTCCCCCCAGACAGGTGGGCTTGGACCAGAGACCCGCTCCTGTGAGCCCCTCGTGGGGCCTCATGAGGACGCGGGAAGTACGTCCACCTCCACGTGTGATTCGCACTCCCTCCCCAGCCCTCTGCCACCTTGCCACCCACCCTGCCCAAGCAGCCCTCAGCAAGGCACAAAGACCCAAGGCTGGTTCCGTCCTCTTAGCCACGCGCCCAGGGCTCTGACCTGAGGGTGCTCTGGCCCCGCTCCCCTACTGGTCTGCCCAGAACCAGCCAGCCCTCCTCTTGCCTTTATGCCCTCCTCCTGCCTCGGTGACCCCCAAGACCTGCCGCTTGCTGATCACTCCCTAGTCCGACAGCCCCGCCCCGCCCTTGGCTCGAGATCAGCAGACCCAGATGCCTACCCCACTCCTCCTCTTAGACGCTAACAGGCACCCCCCAGGGCCCCCAACAGCAAACCCCTCCTCCACGCCCGCCCCCCCTCAGCACCTGGCATTAATTGGGCTGCATAAGCCAAGAATCGGGGCTGCTCGGGGCTTCTCTATTCCCTCTCGCACCTGCCTTCCCGTTGGTGATCGCTCTAAACACGGCCGAAACGGGACCCCCTCTCACCACCTGCACATTGAACCCTAACCGGCCACCATCCCCACACCTCCTCTTGCCCCCACATACTTCAGGCCCTTCTCACTGGCCAAAGCCTCCAGCAGCCCCCCAGAGCATACTTGGAGACTAAACCCCAAACCTGGCAGTAAGGACCTGTGAGGACCCTGCCTCCCGACCCCCCAACCCCAGCTTCCAGCTGCCCACCCCCCCACCGCCCCCCACCCAGCAGGTCTCTCCAGGATGCACTTTCCCAACCCTGTGGCTCAAGCCAACCCTGCCTGCCCTGGTCTCGATTAACCACTGGTTATTTCCTTCCTAATACCCACTACTACCTCACATTCCCATACTTGGGGGCTGATGGCGGTCTTCCGCAAGAAAATGAGGAACACGCAGCCACCGGCCATCTGTGAAATGACTGGGTCCTCACAGTCCATGGCCGGAGTAGCGTTACGCCCACTTTCCTGACTAGGAAGCCTGGCTTCCCAATTAGGGTCTCCCAGCTGATAAGTGACACAGCGGGCCTGAAGTTGGCTCGGGGGCGGGGGGGAGCTGGCTTGAGGTAGGGCTCCCCGCCACCAGGTCGGCAAGGCCTCCAAGGCCAAGAGAAGGGCCAAGGGCTCATCCTCCGAGTTGGGGGAAGTTGGGGACCACTCACCTACAGACACAAGCCCACGAACAGGTGTGTGTCCGCCTCAGGTACGACGGCCCCCCCCAACTCCCAACTCCGGCACGATAGGGACAGAAGGGTTGGGGGAGGACAATACAGAAAGTGCACTCCACACACCACAGCAGCGTGGCTCGCAGCAAAGTCGGGTCCAAAGGCTCTCCCATCAAGCCTCGAGTCCAGAAGGGCTGCCTTCTAGAAGGGCCGGGGTGACCATAGGCGTCTGCTCCGAGCCAGGCCCTGGGCTGAGGACCTCACATCCTTCACTCACTCCTGGCCGGCACCTGGTGACGGTCCCCACTGTGCAGATGAGGAAGCCAAGGCTCAGAAAGATTCTGTAACTTACATCCAGCTGGGGGTGGGGACAGCCAGGACCCGCCAGAGCCTGCTTGGGCGACGGCTGCATGTTCACTGGCTGCCCTGGGAAGGCTCGGCCCAGATGCCGCTGAGCCGGCCAAGCCCCAGACACCAGGGCCTGCGGGAAGGGGACCTGACAGGGAGACAAACAGGCACGTGCAGAAGGAATAAACAGGTGGCATGAAAAGACACACCTCACACAGGTGACAGGTGCAAAACAGAGGCTTTAATCCAAACAGCAATGAAGGCGCATGGGACTGGAGGGGCACAAGGAGGACAGGGCAAGAGGAGCCAGGAAGGCGGTGGTCTGGACCCTGGGAGGGAGGCCAGCACTGGGCCTCTCCTAGGAAAACGATTTCCGTGACTCTAGTGGTTCCCGTCCTGGCCTCTGCCCAGGCCATCGGCCCAGATGTGAGGGTCAAGCCCCTGAATTGTGCTTCTTGGGAGCTCCTCCTTCCCAAAGGGATGTGGACCCGGAGAGAGGGTGGGGGTAGTGGAGAAAGGCAGGCCTGGGCTTGAGACGGAGAGGGCCTGCAAGAGGCTCGCCCAAGAGCCTAGAAAAAACTCAGGACCTGGCATGCCAGCAACCCCTCACCCAGCCCAGGCCCTGCCAACCCAGAGCCAAACCTGGGCTTGGGGAAGGGGGGCATGGCTGCCTTGTCCTGGAGAGCCAGTCGGTGAAGTGCAGGGAGAGGGGAGGGTGGGGGGTTGCTGCTGAGTGCTCCAGGAGCCCCTGACCCACTGCCCTGAAGGGCAGGGAAACAGGGCCAAAGGGCCCTGGAGAAGCAGCAGGGAGGAGAAAGCAGAAGCTAAGAGTCATGAGGAATCCAGGTTCCCCACAGGCCCAGTGGGCCCCAGCCCCTCCCTGTCTCGGCCACCCCCTCCCAGCCTGAGAAACTTTGGAAAGGCAGGCCTCACCGGGTCAGCCAGTGAGCAGGCCCTGTACCCAGTGCCTACCCGAAGGGCAGCTTCCAGAGGCCACCCCGGTAGAGGGCGGCAGGAGTGGTTATGGCCAAAAAACCCAGCAGAGCCAAAGGGCAAAGAAGAGAGAAGCCAGGATGAGGCGCTGGACACAGGCACCAGCAGGCCCAGGGGCCGATGCTCTTCGGTCCCTGAGCCCACCCCAGGCTGGCCACCAGCCTCAGCCTGCAGCCTTCAGAACCCCCAGACGCCCACCCAAACATGGCTTCAGAAACAGACCCACCCCCCGGGAAGCAACCCCTCCAACCCCTAAGAAGGCAACAGGACCTGGGAAAGGAAAGCAAACCGCAACCCCTTTCCCCTCCCAGTGGTGCAGACCAGCCCGGGTCTTGAGCCGGACCGGACGGGAAAGGAGGAGAGGAAGGCCAAGCGCAGGACTGGGGCCCGAGCACACCCCGCCCCCCGCCATGGGAAAACGGGCCCCACTTTGGTCACTTCTCCCTTCACTTTGGGTCCTACACCCTTATGCCTTGAGCCTCCCTCAACCCCGCGCTCACCGCCCACCCCAGCAAACAGCCTCTCAGCAAACAGAAACAGGGGGAGGGGTCAGGGAATGACTGGAGCTGGGGCAGGGAAGGGCAGGCACAGGAACGGTGGCCCGGGTGGCTCTGGCTGCTCCACCCCTAGCATGAGGTGACTGGATGGATGGGCAGCAGGCTCCCGAACTTGAAGTGTTGGATCACAGGAAACTTCTCCAGGCACTGTGAAGGGGAGAGGGGAGAACAGAGGTGAGGACGACACTGCACCCATCAGGGGCCCACTCAGCCTCTCGGGCTTCCAAGGGACCCGGGCACAACTCTGGAGCCTCAGAGCAGCATGGTACCCTGAAAGCATCCACCCAGAGCCCAGCAAGGGGGCCATCCAAGGGGAGCTCTCAGGCCTTCAGGGAAAGGCAAGGCTTCCTACCTGCTTCTGACCACCCTCTCCTATCCAAAGCCTGCCCCCCCCCCCACTCCATGACAATCAGACCCACCAAATAATGAGTGAGTGAGGGAGAGGGAGAAAGGAAAGGAAAGAGAGGGCAGCCCAACCTCATCGGGGGGGGGGGGGATATGGGGGAGGGCAGGACCAGAGACGAACCTTCCAGGCCATAAGGGAGCCCCCTAGCCCAGGTCCTGTTCCTGGAGGAGAGGTGTGGGGACATTTGGATACAAGCCTAAGAAGGGTCCAAGACCCATTTTTCTGCAATTTTCAGTTCTCTGGACTGAAAAAGACACCTTGGCTGGCACTTCACAGTCAGAGAGTAAGAACCAGTTAACGTTCCCCAACCCCCAGGGCAATTCCCAGCAGCTCTGTGCGTGGGACAGATGACAAGAACACCCAACAGGGGACTGACTCCCTGAACCCAGGCCAGATGGGACCTCAGCCCAGGGCTCCAAGGGAGATAGGGAGGTTGGCAGGGCCTGCGTGGCACACAGGCAGCTGGGCCCCAGGCCACACACTTCTGCCCTCTGACCCAGGCACGGCTTAGCACCACCCGGGACCAGAAAAGGGAGGGTGGGCCCCAGCTCCCAGCCTCCCTACACCAGTCCTGCTGTGCCTCACACAGGCCAGGTCACTGGCTAACTCTCTCAGGTAGCAGCTCCCAGCAAGCGCGGATCGCCTTCTCTCATACCTTTGACCACGGAAAACCACCAGAATGGCTGGGTTGGAACAGGACTTACAGCTTCAGATAGGGCGAGTCCTGCTCTGTGACTGTGGTCTCAGCCTTCTCCTAACTCAGGGGGACAAAGGTGTGCCACAACTGGCCCAGGCCCCCTCGCTTCAACAACCAGGTGCAGAAACGAGGAGGTCTTGACTAGCTGTGTGTATGTCAAGTGGGGGACAGTCAAGGCCTAAAGGGGACCCAGGAGCTGAGCAGGAAAAGGACTATCTTTCCATGTGATGGAAGAAGGACACAGAATGAAGCCCAGTGTGGGAGCCGAGCTCCAGGCCACAGGCAGACTGCGAGACCCGGAACGGAAAAAGTGGGGAGCAGGCAGGAGCGGGGTCCCTGGGGTGTGGGGAGGAGGAACAGCAGAGCTCTAGGCCAGAGGCAAAGGCAGCTGCCATTGTGCTTATGTCATCAAGGAAGTGGTGGGAGTTTGTAAAAGGGGGCCCCTAGGGCCCTGGAATTCCAGAAAGGGTCAAAGGTCACCCTGCTTCTAGCTCTCACTCAAGAGAAGCTGCAAAGGCCAGAGGCTTAGCAGGAGGGGGCAGGGGCATTTCTCTGCACTCTGCCTTGGGGACCCAGAACAAGTCCCCCCAGGGCTCCAGTAAAGGAGAGGGACTGGGCTCAAGGTAAGAGGCTACCTGGGGCAAAGGCAGGCCAGGGCTGCAGGACAACAGCAACAGTGGAAGGGAGCCTCTGGGCAGGCCTTTTCCCAGCTAGCCGTGGCGGGGGGGGGGCGCCAGTGGACCGGGCAGAGGGGCGGCTTGGGCTCAGTCCACCCAGCATAGACCTTCCAGCTGGAGGCCCAGATCAGGAGGCCCTTCCAGGTGCCCGTGTTTCAAGGGGGAGAAGGGGTTCTCCATGCCGTGACAAGGCCCTCCGGAAGGGAGCGCCAGCAGTGACAGCCTTCGGGAAAGACAGGCCCCGCCAACCATAAGGGTACTGAACATATTTCCTCCTCATTTCAGAAAGGCAGGGGCAGAGATGCACACAGCAGGTCCCAAAACCTGAGGCCACCTAATGCCAGGCCTGGTCAGGCCTCTGTGGCAGCTCAGGGGACCAGGTCCCCTCCAAGAGCCAACTCTGGTGGCCCTGACCTTGCTAACCCTGCTCCGAACTTTAAGACTCGTGGGTCCTGCCCACTGACTGAGAGCTAACCTGAAAACACGAGTCTTTTCCCTGGGACCTCTGGGAAGGGGGCAGGCAATCCCCCAGGCTCTCAGGGGCCAAAAGACCAAGGGGTACCCACTAGAACCTTACAAACGAGTGCCAAACATCACAAAGATGCGGGGTTCCTAAACCCGCAGTCAGGCGCCCCAACGCTGTCCTACAGAGGAGTCTGGTCGCCACATAGCCCCCACAAGACTGCCAGCCCACACCATGCCTGCTCGCACGCAGAGTTGCAGCTTCCCCCGGGTTTGGGAAGGGCACGCAGGGGTCCCCTGGGGACCCCCCGGTCTGGGCCTGAGCTGCAGGGCCCACGGTGCCGCAGCCGCAGAAATCCCACAACTGCTGTAACTGTTCTGTTTTGTTCCTGCGACTGTGGTGCCGTGAGGAACCCTAGCCCATCAGGCGGGAGCTCTGCGAGGGGAAGGTAGGGGAAGGAGGCAGGGGCTCCTGCTCTGCCCTGAGCCCCCCCCCGCCCCCCCCGCCGCCCAGGATAAGTTTCCAGTGAGTCATTCGAGGGAGAGCCATGCAGGAAGGGTAGCACTTCGGACCCCAAGCAGGAAAGGCCCAGAGCCCTGGCCGCCAGGAGTCCTGGCCGTGGCAGCGGCAGCCGGGAGCAGGGATGGGAGACCGGAGGGGCCGGGCGCTCCACTCATGCTGCACGCAGCCCCCAGCAGTGGGGAGGGGTTCCCCATCGGCACCCACTAGGGGACTGGCAGGGACAGGTGGGGGGTGTGTCAGGAACAATAGGACACCCAGAGGGCAGTGCCCCGGGAGCTCTCCAGGCAGGAGACAGCCGGACTGGAGGGCCCAGTGGGCAAGCCCGGAAGGAGCGAGCAGCAGGGCAGCCCGCGCCTCTCAGATTAGAGAGGTATGTGGGCTGGAACCTAAACACAGGATGTGAAGTCCAGAGGAAGGGGACCAGAGGGGGAGGGGGCGGAAGGGAGAGAGAGGGCCAGGACCGGTCAGTTCCAGCGCCATTAACCCCTTCAAGGCCATGTAGAGGGAACAGGGCCAACTGGAAGCATCTATACTACCAAACCACAGCCAAGCCTCTAATGCCCTCTTCTCCCAGCGCCCCCTGCCTCCATTGATGGGGTCTGCATAAGCGCGGAGCATAATGAAGTAGACCCAGAGAACAACCCCCCCTCCCTCCGTGGGAGAGGGATGGAAAACGTCAGGAGATGGACATGGGGCAACATCAAAGACCACCAGCCTGAGGGCGGAAAGAGGGGACTTGGAGAACTCGTGACTCTGGGCGAAGGACTTCACATGGAGGCCCTTCCCTAGCCAAGGTCACGCAGCTCTGGCATTGGTGTGCACAGATGTGAAAGGAGCTAGCGGAAGGGACAGGATGGCAAGAAAATGTCTCCTCCCTACTTGGTGGGGAAAAGGTGCCAAAGGGGAAAGAGGGCAGAGGACGCCCTCAGGAGCTGGGCAGCGAACTCCCAGCAGGGGGAGCTCAGGGAACCCACGTCCTCACGCTGTTCTCCCACCACAGAGCAGGAGGACCACCTGACGTGGTTGCCAGAAATGTCAGCTCTGGGCCTTCCGGGAGACCCCACCTGCCCAGGGATCAGACCCACCAACGCCTGAGGAGAACCAACTTGGCTGCTGCCTCCAAAGCCCGTCTGCCTACATGCCCCCGTGGGAGACACGGCTGTGAGGGGCCTCTGGCCATCTGACAGGGCCCTGAGTTGCAGGGCCTTGACTCGGTCACAGGGCAGAGCTGGGCCTCAGCCCAGAGATTCTCTGGGTGCCCATCCCACAGACCGAGAGAGACTCTGAGGCCTGCAGCGTCAGAGAAGCTGGCCCAAGATTTGGAGCAAGGCAGCAGGGTGTGGGGTGCGGTCGGCAGCCCCAGGATCAGGAGCGCCGGCCCACCCTTCTCACCTCGGCCTTGTACATGCGGATCAGACCCTGGTTCACCTTGGACCAGGAGGGCACGGCGCTGATGTTCCACAGCTGGTTGGAGTGCTCTGCAAAGGGGCCTGTCTTCATCTGGAAAAGAGAATCCACAGCTGGAGAGGCAGGCCAACTGGGAGCTCATCCCCGGGTCCCAGCAGCAAGGTCGCGCACGTATGTGTACACGCGTGTGCACGCACTAAAGCACACGCGTGCACGCGTATATGTGCACAGAACGCACACGTGCGCATGTGTGCTCGAGGACTTGGCTGCACCGTCTGGGAGGGAGGGGACACACACACACGCACACGCGTGCACACAGAGGCGCCCGTAAGCATCAGAGACGGTCTCTCAGTCTGAAAGACCCACAGGGAAAATATAACCTCCAGGGTCATCCTGTTTCTTCCACAGCCAAAAAAAAAGGGAGCCCGATTCCCACCACCCACCACATTCAGCAGCCTCAGAAAAATAAAATCTCAACCCAAGCCCCAGCTGGGACTCCCAGCAATGCCCCCGCAGCCACAGAGCGCCCCACCAGCACAGGGACCTGCTCCCGGTCCGATAAAGAGCAGCATCAGCCTCCCCGGCCCTCCCCGGCCCCACGCGCAGGGCAGGCTCTGCCCCCGGGACTCGGGCTGTACCTGCCGCCGGGGAGGGGGCGGGTTTGGGCGAAGGGCAAGGTGGGGAAGACCAAACCCAGGCATCCAACTGCGCTCTGCAGGGCAGGCAAAAGGGAGGGAGGAAAAGAGGGGGCAGACGTGAGCCGTGAGCCGGGGGCACCTGCAGCAGACTCGGGAGGAACGTCTGTTCTGGAAAGCCCGCCCGACCTGGCTGGGAGGTCAGGAAGGGATGGCACTGACAGCAGCAAGGGACAGGCTGGAGCAAGGACAGCTCCATTCCTGTCCCTCCTCTTGCCAGAGAGTTTGACCCTCCAGGAAGGAAAGAGACTCTGCAGCCAGCCCAGTGAAGTTCCCACGACACGAGAAACCGCAGCCCTGAGACAGGGAGGCCCTCCGCACCAGACTGGCACGTCTTTAGCTCGCAGGCATTTCAATCCCCCTCAACACTGCCCCCCTCAACTCAGAAATAGTACTGATGCTGGCTGCGGGAATGGGGCTCAGCACCCTGAGCCCCAGGCTTCAGAAGAAAGAGTCCAAAAAGCAAAGAGGCTGAGCTGGCAAGGAAGCAGAGACTTGGACCCTGAGTGGGTGGAAGGTTCCAAAAGAGGCTGGGAGCAGAGGCGGGGCTGGAGGAGAGCTGTTCCAGGAAGAAAGGATGGACCCAAAGCTCCTCCATATCGGGCATAAGAAGGGGGGCCCAGGAACTCATAACACCCCCCATTGCTTGGCTGTGCACTCCCCAGGTGGCCCACTCCCACACACCTCTCACTTCTCCCATAAGGCCTTGCACCAAACTGCAAGATTTAAGTCCAAAAAGCTGCCATCTACTGCTGTTGCCGCCCTCTCCTGGCTAAAATTCCCCCAAAGCCTGTCTCGACCCCCAGGTTCAGTAGCAAGGACAACAGACCCCTTCCTCCAGCAGAGAGAGCCACAGTCTGAGGTGGGAGACAGAAACAAGACCCACCCTGGTGGCCGCGGGGCTCTTCCTGGGGTCAGGGCCTACACCCACTATCTTCCCCACCTCTCTATTTCGAAGGCTCCCTCCTCCGGGATGGGGATGGCTGCTGATACCCAGAGCCTGAGGGTGGGCAGCCCTTGCAGGAGCTTTGTACCCCCGCCCCACCACCTACTCCAGCAGGCTCCACCCCCAGCTACCATCCCTCCCTCTCGCCCCGCCCCTTCCCCCAAAGCTCTCTGCCCCTTGGGGACCAGCGCTGGCTCCAGTCCTCTCCTGCACACTTCCAGGCCCAGAGAAGTTCAGGGACCGCTGGAGCAGTGTCATCAGTTTCACTCTGGACAAGGCCTGGTGACCAAACCGCCCCCAAGGCACCCTGCTGGCCTAGTCCCACAGCATAGCTCCAGAAGCCTGCTCAGCTAGGGCCCCGAGGCCAGGGCCAGCCCAGGATGCTGGGAAACCAGAGGCTCCGCCTCATGCGCCAGCCTCACCCACTGGGGGCACGGGAGGGGACCCCAAAAGGCCTCTCTGGCCTGCTGGCAGAGCCCCAGTGGCCCTGGCCCTCCCCGTGGAAAAGCCAGAGATGCTATTTCTCGAGAGAGGCTGCCCCACCCCAGAGATGCTATTTCTCAAGAGGGGCTGCCCCACCCCACCCCACCCCCAGGCCTTCAGTGTCCCCAGGTCTCCCTAAGTCCTTCAGAAGGAGACTTTGCAACTCTGGGAAAGGAAAACAGACGAAGGGGATAAAAGGAATCGGGAGCGAGAAGACCAAAAAAAAAAAAAAAAAAAAAAATTAGCTCATTCTAGCCACAAAGGGAGAAGAGAAAGAGCGAGAACGAGCAAGCAAGCTGCAGTCCCGCAGTGACCCCAGGGGAATCGTGTGAGTCAGAGCAGCCATATTGAGCAGGAAATTACTCACAGACGCTGCGTTCCTGCCTCTCCACTCCCAAGAGAATCGGCCTTTTGTAAATGGTTCCTCTGTCAGTAACTGAGGGGGGATGGGGGGAGGCTCTGCACAGCGCCTTCCTGTCAGCTCCTTCCCTTCCAGCTGAAATCTGATCCCTCCCTTCCCAAAACTCCAAATTTAGAAGCCAGATTGAAACTGAAATTCTTTTCCTGCCTGCCCTGGGCTCTTAAAGGCGCCAGGGCTGCATTTCCTGAGCCAGCAGAAGCCCTGTGAGGTGGGGTCCCTCTTCTGGGATGCCCAGGGCTACGAGGGCAGGTCCCAGGAGATGGGGAGGAGATGCCCGGTTCTACTGCCAACTGCTGGCTGTTCTGCTTTTTCTCCTAGTTGCACCAGCCGTCCTGGCTCCCCAGTCTCCACAGGCAACACTGCCCCCTTCCAGCAAGAAGCACACAGAACTCCGCAGGGGCCTCCAGGTCCCCTGTGCCCCACCCCTCGGTCAGGGTGAGCCAGGCCAGGTCACTCATTCACGAACTGGGGGAACCAGGGGCAGTGACACCCTGGTGCAGGGTGGCAGGGGGCTTGGGGTGGGCGTAGCCGAGCCCGGAGCAATGGAGAACCACCACAACACAGCAGCAGTCCGCTCCGTGCCAGCCACGTCTCAGCTAGGCCCCGGGTAGACAAAAAGGAGCCCTCGGCCCTGCTAGCACTCAGTGTTTACCACCATGCCCAAGCACCCAGACCCAGAGTGAGAAGCAGGCCTTGCAGAGAGGGTACAGAACAAGCAAAAACTCTAGGGTCTGCCTCTCTGCCTCTCCCCCAGTTAAGGTACCGGAACCTTCTCCAAGTTCGGTGTGACTTTCGCACCACCTAGTGGCCATTGCAGGATTTCCTCCAGCAGAGGAACTGGGTCCCAAACTTTAGAAAGCTTTTGGGTTTTTAATACGAGTATAACCACCCCAACAAATAAAAATACAACACTTTAACCTGGAATCAATTCCCATCTTCCCTGTGGCCCGGCCTGGCTTTCTTCCTTGTTAGTCACTGACAGGGACCCAGGGGCTTGGCCAGCCACCAGAGGGAGCCAGAACAGCTGAGCCTTTTATCCCTCCGTGAGCAAAGCAAGGGCTCAGCCTAGAAGGTGCACCCCTTCTCCCCACCCTGCTCCTCCCGCTTCTTCCAGAGGCTCCCAGGGCTCCCCAGACCCCCGCATTCCGCTCTGGAAAGAGCAGCACGTGACTAGCTCTCGAGGCAGTGAGCCAGGCTGCCCTGAGTCCTTCCGACCTTGGGCCTGCCACACTGCTGAAGGCAGCAAATCTGAGACTGAGGCAGCGGCCGCCCAGCCGTCAGTCCCAGCTCCATTTGCTGACTTGGAAAAACGTGTCATTCCCCTCTGGCCTCTGGAGTTTGGCAGAGGCCTGAGCCGAATGCTGACCGTGAGGAACCCGAGGCAATGGCTGCTTAGCCAGGCTTCTCCATTCGGGGGGCTCAGAACCCGAGCCAAGAGAGCAGCCCCAGTTGGGAGGAAACCACGACCGTGCCTGGAGCATCGCTGAGCCCAGATGTGCGTGTGGGCATTGTTAAGAGAATGGTGGCAAGACCCTCTGCAGACAGCAGAACCAGGGCATGCTTTCAAGTTTGGGGGAAGGGGGCGAGGTATGCAGCAGGGGGATGAAAGGTCCTGGCAGCTCCTGAGAGAGGCCCTATGAGCAGTGAGTCCCCAAGTCCCGTGTAAAATCACCTGGCAAGTGTATTTAACACAGGTTCCTGGCTCTTGTCCCTAAGATCCTTGATTCATAGAGCTGGAGCTGGGCACAGGAACGTGGATTTTAACAAGCTCTCTGGGTGACCTTGAGGAAGGGGGAGACCCAGCCTCCGTGGGCAACAGCACCCAGTTACTAAACACCCACTGCCAGGCGGGCTGGGGGCCCGGGCCTGCTTGGTTCACCTCCAGCACATCTGGCCCGTGTCCTCAGGCTCTGACCGAGACACATCCCCTCAGCAGAACTCTAGCCCTGCTATCCTCCTGAGTCTCCCGGCCTCCTGCATGGGTTTCATGCCGCGCGGCCACATGCCAGTGCTGGACAGAGCTCGTGGGCCCCACCCACCCCCTCAGACCGGCTGCGTCAGTCACCAAGTGCACAAGCCACCGAGTCCCAGTCCCTTAGCTCGAGTCCCACAGAGTTCCCAGACCACAGATTTGGGGGAGGAGACGCCAGACAGTCAGAAGCTGGCTTAACCTTTCACAGGCCTACTGGGGCTTTCTTGTCAATAATCCTCCGAGGGCCAGCCCTGCCGTCTTCAAGCCAGAGCTCCAGCTCCTCTGTCCCACTCCAAAGCCACCAGCCTCCGCTGACCTCAGCCAGAGGCTGCCATGGGCTTCTCCCTCACCCCCTTCCCCTCACCTCAGTGATAAACAGGATACATTCCAGGAACATGTAGTCCTTGTGGTTCTCATTCACGGCCTTCTCATCGACAAAGTGCCTGGGCTCCAAATACGGGTGGTCTGGGAACAGCAAAGAGCCCCGGGGTTCAGAATGAGACACTCACACCCACAGAGTGCCACCTCAGCCCAGGGCAGTCTACACCTACCCTGGAGCCACAGTCCCACCGGTGCGCCCTCAACACTTGACCTTGTGGGAGCAATAAATGACGAGTATGTGTATGTGTTTGTGCACGTGTGTGTGCGTGTGTGCGTGTGTGTTCCAAGCGGTGGCTTTGCCTTTTTCTAGCCATGTGACCTTGACCCAGTGACTTCAGCTCTCTGAGGCTTGGTTTCCTAATCTGTGCAGTGGGGCTATGAACAGCCCCTCCCTCATGCTGCCTGATGGTTGGGACCACGGGAGAGCCCCGGGCCTGGCGCCCACGCACGTTTACCCCTTGTCAAGGGTGCCTAGTCTCATGCAGGCAAAGACCCTTCCCAGGGTCACTGAGAAGGTTCTGGGAGATAATCTACCTAAAATGCTTAGAGCAGGGCCTGGCACAGAGCAAATGTGCAAACGCTTATGAATATTATCTTGTAAACAGTTCATCCTCCACTGTAGCAGAAGTCACCACCGGACCCTCACCCACCGGAGACCCCAGGGAGCCGCCCCCGCCTGGAAAGCAGGGCCAAGTGAGGGGAGCCAGCACAGAGGGCCCACAGGAAGTGGCTCGCTGCCCCGCACTGGGTGGCTGCTCCCTGACGGGCCCCTTGCACACAGCTTGATAATAACGGCGGATGACGCCAGTCACCGAGTCAAAAGAGCCCCTCATTTTCAACATAAAACCCCGCAGCTTTGCCAGGAGCCGGGGCGCATTTCACACCAGTCCATTATGCACCAGGCAAGCGCCCCTGCACCGGCCCTTGTCACTTTCCATTATCTCAGCACACTCTGCCTCCGCCTCCCCTGGCCTGCCACGCTGGCTCGCAGCACAAGGTCGACAGCAAACAGCCTCCGTCAACAGCCGGTCTAATGCCTGCTTTACAAGCTGTCACTGTTGGCCCTGAGCAGCAGCAGCAGCGAGGCAGGAAGGGAGGGGGCGGACAGACCACACACACCCACCCCGGGTGTGCAGGGGAGGACAGGGGGGTAGGCGCCCCTTCAGTACCTATCAGCTGCGAGCTGCCCCAGATGAAGGGCAGAAACTGAAAGTCGTCCAGGCCCCACACTCCCTGGCTGCCCGCTGGCTCCATCCTGTATGTCTTCTGGAGTTTCCGCATAACCTCCAGGTACCTGTACAGGAGGGAGCGGGAGAAAGAGGTAGCAGAAAACAGAAAGACAGTCTCAACCCTTCTGCCACTGGGAGCTCACGGAGGCCAGAAATAACCACATAAGAGTGTAACTGGTCCCTATTTTCAATTAAAACCTACATGCGTAAGTTATGCATCAGCTGGTACTCTCAAAATAATGTTGCTTTATTTTTTTCTCCCACACAGCCTTCTTCTGGCCCAGGAAGAAATGGGGATTTAGCGCCACCAACTCCTGACAACGGAGACCCTGAGCAGCAGCCCCAGCCTCTCTAACTCTGGCAGGCCCATCGGAAGGCTGGTAGGGGACGGAGCAGATCACCTCCCAGGGCCTGCCGGCTCCCACCTTCCCTCTTCTCAGGGGCTATGTTCCTGTCTTCAGAAGCCCAGGCATCAACACCGCCAGAGCAGGGCCCGGAACTGCACGGTGCTGTCAGAGGCCCCTGGTGGATGCACACACCTGTGCTGCGGGGCAGGTTGGGGGGGGGCGGGGCGGTCAGAGCCCGACTGCAGGGGGCAGGGTTCAGCTGGCTGTGTGACCTCAGGGATCAGAAGACAGCTGATTTCTCTGGGCCTCCCTTTCTTCATCTACAAAATGGAAATGACGGTCACTGCTGCCTAGAGCTGTGGGGAAATCTAGGGAGCGAGACACGCATGGAGCGCTTGGGACACGGCTCGACACGGCCAGTGCCGCGGAAGCATGAGCGGTCGGCACGTGGCATTTCCTTCACTTGTCCTTACTTGAATCTGAACCTGCCAGAAGGCTTTGTGCGCGCCCCATCCACAGCCAAAGCTTGATCAGGACAGGCCAGAAGAAGCAACAACCGCTCAGGAGAGCCCTCCAGCACCTGTCCCCAGCCTGGCAGTGAGGAGGTGGAGAAACCCCCGCTGCTTCTCTTGTCTTCCCACTCACCGATTGAACACCTTGAAGACAATAGCTATTTGGTCATCTACCCGGAGCACCCCAATCTTGCAGAGGCAGCAGAGGAAAGCAGCGAAGGCTGCTTCATGTCCTGGGGGAGGAGAAAACCAGCCGAGATTGACAATCTTCCAGAAAAAGGAGCAGGACTGTTCTTGGTCTCACCAGAGTCCAACTTACTGAGAACCACCCCTCTATGGAGGAAGGTTAACATGGAGATAATGGGGCCTCTGCCTCTTCCAGAAAGACCCAGGCCCTTTTGAGAACTACCACTACTATAATTCTAAAAGGCCCAAGAGGCCAAGGCTGTGGACTTCTTAAATTTTGTTTTGTAGGTTTAACTCACTCGTCCATCGCACTCTATCTATTGGGTACCTATTATAAGGGCAGCCAGTGTCCGTGTCAGGCACCAGGGAAACTCCATCCATGACTTTGCTTGAGCGTTTATGCTCTGTCAGGATGACAAACATTAAGTAGACAATCACTTCTATAATCCTAACTCTGAAGGAGGAAGACAGGGTGATAACTGGAAGATATCACAGGGGGACCCTGCCATAAGGTTCAAGGAGGTTTCCCTAAGGAAGTAATATTTAATCTGAAAGATGATTGGAGTTGGTAAGGCACGGGGTGTGAGGGAACCAAGAAGAGTAATCTGCCCAGAAGGAACAGCACGTGCAAAGGCCCTGAGGTGAGGGGAAAAAAATGGGTTATGTTTGAAGAACACTAAGAAGGCCAGTATAGCTAAGCAGAGAGCGCAAGGGAGAAAGTGTAAGGAGATGAGGCTGGTGATCAGACAGGCCTTAACCGCCATCTAAAAAGCTCAGACTCAGTATCCTAAGAGTGACGGGAGCCACTGAAGGCTTCCAAGCAGGGAACACATGGTCACGTCACAGGGTCAAAAGGCAGCCCCTTCCATGGGGTCCCTCGCTGGCTCGGTCAGTGGCGCATGTGACTCCTAATCTCAGGGTTGTGAGTTCAAGCTCCATGTTGGGTGTCAAGATTGCTTAAAAAGAAAATCTAAAAAAAAAAAAAAAAAAAAAAAAAAAAAAAAGGCACCGCCCTTCCTTTCCCAGTCATGCCACATAGGAATGGTCAGCACTACAGACACCGCTGATCAAACCCTGGCCTGAAATGCCATGGTTCATGGTATTATTTAAAAAAAAAAAAAAAAAAAATGTATTTGGAGGGAGGCAGGGACTTCCTGTCCCATCTCTGTAGAAAGAAGGTGCCTCCAGGGCCCGGGAAACTTGTGAGTGTTCCTCTCACCTTCGCTGTCTCTGATCTCCACCAGCCAGAGTCCCAGCCACCATCCCTCAGGGGCTCTCACACACCTGACAGCGGAAGAAAAACCCACCCTCGGCTGACCTGGCCAGCCCCCCTTCAGGGTCCTTCCCTGTTGGTCTTAGTCAAAGCCCCACCCCAGGAAGTCTCAAAACACTTGATAAACCTGCTCCCAGCAACAGGGGAGCAGAAGACAACGCCTCCCCAGGACCCAGGTTCAAGGAGGCCCTTCTCCAGGCCTGCCTCCTGGCCTGTGCTCACGTGGAGGAAACTGAGCCCCAGGCAAGGGGAAGGCCTAAGAGAGCAGCCGAACTTGCAGTTGCCGCTTCAGGGCAGGCCAGAAAGGGGAGCCTACAACCGCAGGGTCCTCCCTCAGCCCCCACCCACCCCCAGGCAACCCTTCTCCCCCGAGGTGCCTGCCTGTGCCCTCTCCCAGAGAACTCAGCAGCACACAGACACTGGGCCGGGCAAGGGTATGCCACAATGCTGCCAGAAGCTAGGCTCTGGTAAGGGGTCGCCTTGAGATATAACAAGTGCTCAATAAATTACTTTGCTGCCAGTGATAAGTTCACAGAGACTGAACAGAAACCAGTGCCGCACGCAGCCACCAGGCACGTGGCATCAGCTCCCCCTGGCGGACCAAGACAGAACCGCAGGAGCGGCCCCGGGCCTCCCTGCACCCCAGCAGGCCCCAAAAGGCTGCCTGCTCAGAGGACCCCAAGATACCCTGGAGCAAAGAGGAAGCAGTCCAAGGAGAGTGTGCAGTGGAGCCAAGCAAACACTGGGAGCGGCAGATACCTGTGCCATAGTCGATGCGGGTGGAGTTCCCCACGGACTCCTTTAGGTAAACAGCCACCTCAGGCACGGCAGCCGCCAGATGGGTGGGGACCACTGTGGCCACCAAGTTTTCTGCTTCCTGATAACACAAGAGACACAAAGTGGAGGCAGCAGATTAGGCAGCATCCTGACGGTCAGGCACCCAGGAGCAGCACTTGGCCGGGGCCCAGCTGGCTCCCTGTGCTGACTGGCTACAGAAAGACGAGGTGGGAGACGCTGACCCTTATGCCACAGAGCGACGACCCTGGGGTGGCTTTTCATCTGCTGGCCCTTCCTCCAGGGGACACGAGTCTGGGACAAGATAAGAGGGAACCACAAAGAAGCCGTTCAACTCCCTCATCTGGAAAGTTGCTGCCGTCCCTACAGTCTCTCTCTACATTCCCAGGGGAGCAAGACCATGTGCCGCATGTCCACCAAAACATGCAGCCAAGAATGCTCGTGGCAGCAGTATTCACAGTAAACAAAATGCGGGAACAACCCTTCACTGCAATGCCCCCCACCCACAGGCCGTGGCATGGTTAGAAGCCAGGACACCAGACGGCGACGGAAACGCTCCGCTGCTCCGCACAACACAGGGACTCGCGGAGACAGGACACCGAACAGAACATATCAGACGTCTGTAAGTTCAAAAACACAGAACACGACTCTGTGGGATGGAAATCGGAAGAGTTTTGGGGGGTGGGATATCAACTCAAAAGGGGCCCAAAAGTTTTAGAGCTTGAGACAGCTGGTGGCACGAGGGCCAAAACACACTTCGCAAAAGACCCAGCAAGCTGTGATGGGATCATTTTCCTGTAAGTTATAACTCAAAAACAATCTTTAAAAAAAAAAGACCCTGTGCCACAGGCTGCTCTTAGGCAGGGACAGCGTTTTGCTGGGTCCTTGGGGCTCCCTCTGCTGCAGTTGGAAACACTGGCCCAGGGAAATGAGGATCCAAGTTTCTCTGGGTTCAGTCTACAGGTACCTGGCAGGAAAATCTCCAGACCCGAGGAAAATCTGGATTCCCAGGCCCGACCCAAGACCTACAGACAAAAGGCTTTTCTAAGGACAGGGCCCATGAGCCTACATTTTTATTTTTTGCTTGCTTTGAACAGGGGTCACTGCTATAGCATTCAAAAACAAAGACATTAAAAAAATAAAAATACCCTGAATTCTACTCCAGAAACCAATACTGCACTGCATGTTAACTACCTGAAATTTAAATAAAAGTTAATTAGTAAATGAAAAAATCAAGAAAAAGAAGCACAATGCTAAATTCGTTGGGATTTGCCAAGAAAAATATCAAAAAGTAAAAAAGTAAATAAATACACACATTACAAAGGGATGCCCTGAGAAGTCTGTCCCTTCCCCACTCTCCCCTGCCCTCAGAGAAGTTACGGCTCTAATAGCCTCTGGCATATCCTTCCACTGATGTTCCTTTATGCGAACTGAGCAGCACAAACATATCTTGTCATTTTTCCCTCTTTCCTACCAAAAAGTAGCTGACCATGTGTCAGACCCTGGGTTCCTCTAACCGAACAATAAATCCCAGGCTGCCTCCCCGCAAGCTCCCGGTCTTTCTCCAGCCGCACGGCACTCCGGGCTCCATCTACTAGTTCATCCGACTGACCCCCGGCACACAGACACGTGGGACACTTGAACCTATCGCTAACGCAAACGATGACCTCAGTAACAGCCCCATGCAGAGGACTGGGCATCCACAGTGGGGATTCCCAGAAGACAGCAGGGACAGAGAGTAAAACCATTTGTACTTTTGGTAAAGCGAATCGTCATGTTAACAAACTCCCCGGTAATTCTGAGGTGCCTGAAAGCTCTTGGACCCTGGCCCAGGCCCCAAGCATGTCCTGTGGCGCCTCACCTCGTCGAGTTTGGCATACCAGGTCCTGTAGGCCTTGTTCCCAAATCGAGAGGGCTGGTCCACCGGAGGGGTCTCATCAATCCACCTGTCCAGAGTGTTGAGAAGGGCGACCAGTTTCTCAATGGCCTGTAGCAAGCAAATAGAGGGGCCCAAGCCACAATGACTAGCGGCCCCCAGCTAGAGCCACAAAAGGAAGTCCCAGCTGCTGCTGGACAATGACCCGTAGGCATGGCATTAAGTGGTAAGTGCTGGGGAGATCACACACTCCTACAGGATTGAGTTCTTAAATTCAACTGTCTGGGGGTGCCCGGATGGCTCCGTCAGTTAAGCGTCTGCTTTCAACTCGGGTCATGATCTCAGGGTCCTAGGATTGAACCCGGCGTCGGGCTCCTTGCTCAGCAAGGAGTCTGCTTGTTCCTCTCCCTCAGCCCCTCCCCCAGCTCATGCTCGCTCACTGTCTCACAAATAAATAAATAAAATCTTTAAGACATGGGCCCCACAAGCACTGTTTTGTACCCTGCTCAATTTCCCCATGAGCCTCATTCCATGTCAATGTGCAAACATAATTCTACAATAGCCTTTAGTAGTAAGTTCATAGAATTTCATCATGCCAACATACTATATTGTTAAATGTTTGGGTTATTCCCAACTGTTCCCTCCCACAAACGATCTGGGCAGTTCCCCTCTGCAGAGCTGCTGGGTCAGAGGTCCGAACCTGTGTAATGCTCTGTAGGGTCACAGTGCAGTGTCAGGAAGCCCATGTCCCTACACCTTTCCCACAGCAGGCAGGAACCAAGGAATGAGATCAGTGTCACAGGCCAGGGCAACATTGGCACACAGAATGTTACTCAATGAGAAAATCAGGTGAGGCTGCTGATCCAAAAACACAGGGCAGCTGGAAGAGGACTCCTTCTAGGCGTAGCTTGTTAAAAAAAATAAATAAAAAAAAAAAAAAAAAAAAAGGGCCAGAACGAAAGGCTGGCGGAGGGCACAAAGCAGAGCGGGGGTGTTCAGAGGCAGGCAGCCCTGGAAAAGTAGACCTTGCCAAGAAGCAGGTTTTGCCCATGTCCACTGGGCACGAGCAGCACAGACAGAGACCTCCAGGAGCACCTGACACTAGGTAGGACCCAGCAAGGTGGTGCCCAGGTGAAAAGCTGTGCGGAGGAAGGCAAGGATCGGGGAGGTACGGGCCAAGAGCTGTCGGGGTAGGGCACGTGGACTTGAGCTAATGGAGTACCTGTCAGCCAATGCCCACCCCCACACAGCTCTGGGAGGCACAAATCACACCACAGGCCACTTAATCAGCACCCCTGGCATTGTGCAACGGGACACTGGCCTGAATGTTGCCATCCCTCACCTCCTCTCTCTCTGTGCTTGGGGTGTGAGAGCGAGGAAAAGTCAGGGGTACCTGGCTGAGGCAGAGGGCCCCGGTGACAGAAAGCTGCCCAGCTGAAAAGTGCCGCCACGGCCCAGCTTTGTGAAGAAGAACCGGGTCACCAGGAACTGAGTAAGGACAGAGCAAGCCTGGCCCCATGCAGCACCCGGGACTCCAGAGCGATGAGGCAGTAATTCTGGCCCCAGGAAGCGCCAGGCAGGCCAAGTTCCCTGGCGGTCTCAGTCTTGGGCAAGGCGCTGAAGGGGATAAAGAAGGTGTGGGGAGGCCTCGGAAGCCGGAAGCCGGAAGCCGGAAGCCGGGCCCCAGCTGCCAGCTCAGCTGGAGTCATGAATAATTAAAAGGCTCCTAGCTTCTCTTTCTGGAAAGGGCTTTTAGAATGCACGGGCGGCCTCTATTGTCTGACTGGCTGGGGCTGAGGGGTCTGCCCCTCTGCTGTGGGCCCAGCCCTCAGGAAGCACAGACAATCATTTGAACTACCCTCCCGCTCCCTACACCAGTGCTTCCCTTTACATTTCATGGTCCAGTAAAATTTTCTCCAAACCAGGACTTGCCAGTGTTTTCTCTTTGTCCCCAACTTAAATATCAAACGAACAACAGCAAAAAAAAAAAAAAAAAGCCCCTTATCTACTCACATTTTGCAAAACCCCAAAATGTGAACCCAATATAATCTCAAACTCAAGGAGAATCTTCTAAACATGGGTCTAGACGGTCTCGCGGTGCCCTTCCTCGTTCCCTTCGCAGCTGGTGGTCTGGAAGCTGCCACCTAGGGCCGCCCGTCTGCCCTCTCCCCAGCTGCCATCCCCGCAGGAGGCGGCCGGAGTGAGAGGAAGCAGGAGCCCCCAGCAGCTGTGTCGGGGGCCCTCCCCCATCTATGGGCTGAGACCACACGCGGTGAGCCCTGCCTTCCGCGGCCCTGCCAGCTGTGGGCAGAAGCTGGGAGACCTCTGGAGACCAAACTAGTCACTTCTGCCCACCAAGTGATCGCCCTGGCACTGGGATGAACCCCAGCTCTGGAAGCGCCCCCAACTGAAGCAATCACGCCACTACTGGAGATGAGAACTTAAAAATAGCTCACGCTAACAGATAATAATGATAAAAGTCACCTAGTACATCTGAGGCACTGTCCTAACAAGCGTATGTGTGGGATCCCACTGAATCCTCCCCAGGGACCATGAGTCGGTCTGCTGGCTCCTACACTCCACAGATGAGGAGACAGAGGGTCAGAGGGAACAAAGCCAACAGTTTGGAAGGGAGAGGTTATCCAAACCCAGCCAGCCTGACTCCAGCCCCCAAGCACTTAACCATCCTGCAATCCTGCCGAGAGAACAGCTCCTGAGCTGAGACAACACCTGGCCGGAGAGGAGTCTACGAACAAAGTGTGAGGGGAAATTACGGGACCTTGGGATCTGCTGGGGTAATTAGAACATCCCCCCTGTAATTAGCCTTCCCCCACCACACTCCCTGCCCACAGAGCACAGCCGAGCTTCCCTCACCGCAGGCTCCGGGACAAGCCCTCTCTCCCCCAACCCACGAACTCAGTGGGGGGCCAGCCCCCAAGAGAAGGAGGTCTATCCCCAGCACAGGTCCAGCTTCCCTCGGGTGACAGAAAAAGACCTCAGTGACCCCACAGCCAGTCAGGGTCCAGGAAGAGACAGCTCCGCTGGAGTGGGGTAGGAGGGTCAGGTGGAGAGCCCGGGCTGTGACAGGGCCAGGCCTTACCCAACAGGGTGGGATAAGGCACTGAGAGGCTGCTCAGGCCCTGGTGTCTAAGATAAGAGTCTCAAGGTGACTATGAGCCAACTGGGCTAAGAACCCAAGAGGCCTCTGGAGGCCTGGGACCCAGCCCTGGGAGATGGCATCCACCAATAGCCAGCAGCCCACAAGCCCACGCCTCCCCACAGCTCTTGTCCTCTCTCTGCCCTCAACTCAGCATCCCCACTTCCAGGAACGACTCCTTAGGAAAGAGTGCCCACAGATCCATAGGTAAGGATGTGCAAAGCAGCAACATTTAGGGACACGACCTAAAAGTCCACAGCTGGGGCCTGCTGAAACAAATGAGGGCCGCCTCAATGAGGCAGAATTTAGAAGGTGACGGGGCAGCAGGAGGAGCTCAGGGGGCAGCAGGAGGAGCTCAGAGGGCAGGTCTGGGTGACATTCCCCAAACTGTTCCCAGGGCCACCCCAGGGAGCTGGGCAGGATGGGGAGGACAGAGAGAGGGCAGCTTGCTGTTAACACACTTTTACTAGTGATCCCTTCAGTGAAGCCCACTTACTTCATCTGTAATCTTTTTTCATTTAAAAAGGTACATGGGGCACCTGGGTGCCTCAGTCGGTTAAGCGGTCGTGTCTGACTCTTGGTTTCAGCTCAGGTCATGATCTCGGGGTCCTGAGATGGAGCCCTGTCAGGATCCGGAGGACCAGTGGGGCTCTGTGCTCACGGCGGACTCAGCTTGTCCCTCTCCCTCCCCCCACTCATGTGTGCTCTCCCTCTCTCTCTCTCTGTCTCAAATAAATAAATATTTTTTTAAAAGGAAAAGAAATACAAACACCGAAATGTCAACCGCACATGTGCTTGACGATCTTATTTCCTGCCTCGGCCTGTTGGGGGCCAGGACCACACGTGACTCTCTGGAGCTATTCTGGGAAGGGCCCTGCTGCAGCGGGCTCCCCGCCTGTGCCTACCTCAGAGACTTTGTACTCGAAGGTCAGCTTCTTCCCCTTCACACCTTCATTGAGCGTGAGGATGAATCCAATGTAGTCAGCGTACGCCTACCGAACAGAGTAGGGAGTGGGGGTGAGGAGAGGAGTGTCAACCCCTGACCCTCCACACCCCGGCCAGCCCCCAGCTCCACCCAGTTCCCAAAGGGCTCCAAGCTGTCCCTGGACCCTGGCCTGCCAGCAGGAGAAGTAGAACAATAACGCCAAATACCCAACCCTGCCCTCCAGCCTAAAGAGCTGGCAAGCCAATGACCACTGTGACACCGGGACCCTCAGTCCGTTTGCTGTGTGCGCACTATTCCTGCCAGTGGCTTCTTCACACAACCTCACAAGGTAAACACTGTCACTATACCCATTTTATAGATGAGGAAGCCAAGGCTTCAGGAGAGATGACTTGCCCAAGGTCTCCTAAGACCAACATCTCATTAGACGTGGAGCTAAGACCTCACAAGTCCTCCAAGTTACACTATACCACCAGGAGTTCAAGGAATACCAGCCAAGGTTCCTCCCCTGCTAGTCTTCCAGATGTTTCCCCCACCAGACAGGCCCGGCTCTCAGCCTGCAGTGCAGACCCCCTGCTCCCAGGAGAAGAAACTGTCTTCTGCCCGTGGCCAGGTCTCCCAGCACACCCAAACCCAGCTTCCAACTGGGCACTCTCCTCCCTGTTGAGCTTCAGGTTACGAGCACAGGGATAAGAAAGCACCAAGTTGCAGGCCCTGCGAGCAACTGACTTCTGTTTGGTCTTGTTTCTTCCTCATCTCTGTTGTCTCTCGTTTTCTTCCTCCTTATCCAAGATGCCAGCAACAGCCACAACAAGCCCCAAGAACTGACCATTCTGTATCTAGAAGGGACCATTCTTGTACCAAGACCTTCCTACAGCCCATGGAACAGCCCCAAGTGGAAACGAAGGGTCACAGAGCAGGTCCGAGCCCTCGTCCTGCCTGCAGCCCGCATTCAGAGTCATTTCTACCAACTACACCAGGATGCAAAGACAGGAAGCCGCAGGGTCATCCTCCATGGTCCCTGCTCCCACATGGGCCCAAGTCTCTTGGTGACTAAAGCTCAGGTCATTCTTATAAAGAAGTCTGTGCGCAAAGTCTCCACCAACGCCACCATCCTCATCCCTGTGGCAGTGACAACCATGCCTGCAGCTCGGGATGGCTCATGAATGCCTAGCACCAGGCCAGGTACTTTTTGGACTTTGAGTCATTTAAGCCTCCCAACAACCCATTTGACGGTAGAGAGAAATAGGCTTGGCCAGCGTAGGCCCATTGCCTAAGTCACAAGAAGAGAAAATGGCAACCCTGGGCTTCAAGCTTTGACCTCTCTGACCCGAAGTCCATGCTCTCAGTTGCCGCGCTCTGCAGCCTAGCGAAACTGTGTGGACCATGGCACAGAGTCACTTGTCGGGCCATGAACTTGAGTGGTGAGCAAGTGGAAGTCTTCTATCCAAAATAGTTCAATATACACTCCATCAGAAAAAGTAACCAACACTTCCCAGAAAGCATTGGTGCCTACAGCAGGATCAACAAACTGTGCCTACAAAGGGCCAGATAGTAACTATTTTAGGCTCTGCAGGCCATCAAGCCTGGTCCACAAATTCTCAACTCCACCCAGCTCTGCCAGTTAGTGCGAAAGCAGCCGCACACAATATATAAATGAGCCCTCCTGTGTTCCCATAAAACTTTATTTATAAAAACAGGCAGAAGTCCAGATTAGATGAGCAGGCAGTAATGTCCTGACCTATGGCCTAAAACGGCTCAACCCATAGCTGTCTACAGACAGAGGACCTGGGCATGAATCTTGAATCTCATCCCACCCACTCGCCAACTGGGCCATTTTGCTAAATGTCTTTATCTCCTCGAAATGGAGATGATATCTGAGCCCACTTCCCAAAGTTTTTGTGAGGATTTAAATGAGCTAAAAATACCTGGTACATCGTAAACACCCGCTCCTCCTAGGAAAACACCCAGGCGGAAAGCAAGGAACTAAAGCCACGTTTGGATTCAGCCAATTTGCAGGTTCAGAGCAGACTTGTGGTTCTCGACCCAGGCAATCTGGCTCCCAGGCAACTTCTCACAAGCTCTGGAGACATTTTTGGTTTTAACGGCTTGGGGTGGGGGGTGGGGGCGCTGGCATCTAGCCGGTAGAGGCCAGGGAAGGCACTGCATTTCCTCCAGTGCACAGGACAGCCCCTATAACAAAGAATCATCCACCCCAAAATGTCAATAGTGCTGAGGTTCAGAAACCTTGAGGTAGGCAAACCAAGATGATGAAAGGACTCAGACCGTACCCTTTGAGCGGCTGAAGGGACTAAGGTGTTTGTCCTGGGGAGGACGCAGGGAGAGAACATAACTCGGAAAAGACGTGAGAACCACCTGCAAGTATTTAGGAAGCAGGCTTACGAAAGAGGAGCCAGAAAGGCTTGCATGGCCCAAGACAGAGCCCCGGCAACTGCAGGACGTGGGCTCAGTTTCAGCACAGCAGACTCCCTGAAGAGAGCCTGCCCTTCCGTACAAGCCACCCCTCACCCCACTCCAGCTGAGCAGAGCAGGTGTGGGCACATGACTGGAGCTGGGACCAAGGCTTTCCCTGGGGTTTTGAAATTGGCTTTCTTTTTCATAGTCCCAATCTTTCCACAGCCTATGCCAGAAGCCCGGGAGGTAGAAGCTCTTATTTTCTGCCCGCCATTGGACGGAGCAGCCCGGGAAGCTGGTCTGCACTTCCCCTTGCTCTAGGCCCCAGTTCCCAGGTATTTTTAGGCCCAGCCACCTCCCTGGCCTAGGTTTCCATGAGACAGACAACCTCTTCTCTCTTAGACACATGGGCTCCAAGACCAGCTATAACTCACCCCCGCACCCCCCTCCCCCAGAGAGGGACAGCCAGCTCCCCTGTCAGCTCTCTCCCCAGCTCCTAACAGCTCTGGTTCCAAGAGCAGGAAAGGTCAGGAGCTCACTCACTGCCTCTGAAAAAGCCCCACTTCTTCACCCCGCTGTGGCCCTCCGGTGCAGATGCCACCGGTACCTGAGAGCGCTTCCATTTGCCCATGTCTGGAACTGTGTGGATCTCCTTTTTCGGAATGATGAAGCTCTGAGTGGCCGGAGGGATATCCTCCGAAGAATCTTGACAAAGAAAGTGAAGAGGCAAACAGATAAATAGAATCTTCCCCCCAACCCAACCTTTTCCCCTCTCTGTCTCTCTTGCCACCCCCACCATGTCTCTCTCTCTCTCTCTCTCTCTCTCTCTCTCTCACACACACACACACACACACACACACACACACGTTTAAACCAAGACTCCAACCCCCCCAGTCCCTGGGGTGAACCAGACGCGTACCCCCAGGACAGTCAACCCAAACCCACTGCCCTCCTGCCTTTCCACCCCCAGCCCGGAGCCCCGAGGGACTGGTGAGCCCCTCAACAACTGACACGGTCAGCTGCTCCTCGTGTCCTCCGTGTCCTCACCTCCTGCTCCCTCACCGGAGAATGGTTAGAAAAATAAAACCAAGTTGACCTTTTAGTCAGAAGCAGGCAATTCAAAGAAGAGGGGGGTGTGGAAAATACAAAAGGCCACCTACAAAAGGCCACCGATAAACATTGGGAAAAAATTGCCAACCTCTGAATAAGCAAAGAAATGTAAATGAGACGAGATGGCTTTTCCAGATCCGGGTGGCAGATGAAAACCATCTGGCAGGGACTGGGGAGGGGAAAGCCCGAGCTCTCCTGCACCGCTGGTGGGAGTCTGGGTAGAATCTGCCTAGGACGCAACTCAGCACTGACTTCTGAAATAAAAAGCCACACAGACCCACCAAGCCAACAGTTCTACTTGTAGACAGCGACCCTGCAGGTGCCCAAAGAAATACACCGAGATAGATACAAAGGCCCTTACTGCACGGAAGAGAGGTAGAAACAGCGTACGTATCGATTGACAAGGCAATGACAAGGTAGATAATAATATGCCCATTGAATGGAAATCTGCATAGCTTTTTAAGAAAATGAAACCTAAATTATTACCATAGGAAAACAGCCTAGATATTAATAAGTGAAGAAAGAAAATGAAGCTAAGTTATATATAATATAATCTCATTATTGCAGAAAGAGCTATACATACTTGGTATAAATAACACGTGTATCAGCATGTGCATTGGAAAAATCTGAAACCCCAAAGTTAGTTAACAGTCATCTCTAGGAGGTAAGATCTGTAAGAGACTTCCATTCCTAAGCTACTTATTGCTATTAAAAACTAGCATACAGTATGGGGCACCTGGGTGGCTCAGCCAGTTGGGCATCCAACTCCTGATTTCAGCTCAGGTCATGATCTCATGATCTCAGGGTCATGAGATAGAGCCTTACATCGGTCTCCAGGCTGGACATGGAGACTGCCTAAGATTCTCTCTCTCGGGGCGCCTGGGTGGCTCAGTGGGTTAAGCCTCCGCCTTCTACTCAGGTCATCATCTCAGGGTCCTGGAATCAAGCCCAGCATCAGGCATCGGACTATGCTCAGCGGGAAGCCTGCTTCCCCTACCCCGCCTGCCTCTCTGCCTACTTGTGATCTGTCAAATAAATAAACTCTTAAAAAAAATATATATATATATATATGTATTTCTCTCTCTCTCCTTCTCCCCACCAACCCCCCCCACATTCATGAGCTTGCGTGCGCCCTCTCTCGCTCTCATTTAAAAAAAAAAAAAAAGCATACAGTAATTTTGTAATCAGGAAAAAAAAAAAACCTATTTCAAATGGAGTTTCTATATTTGCAGAAGTTGGGGGAAAGGAAATCACAGGGCAGTTCCACGTGCTGACCTAGAAGTAAACTTCCCACCAAAGTAGACTGCTTAGTATGAGTGGCCTCCTTGGCCAAAAATATCCAGCCCACACTGCAGGATTCCCTTTACTTTGTGACACTAGGAAATACATGCCCTCAGTCTCTTCTCCATAATTCCAAAATCCAAAAAGTTCTAAAAACCCAAAGTTTTTAAAGTAAGTTTGGCATAAATTCATTTGGTACACGGAGCACCTGGGTGGCTCAGTTGCTTGGGTGACTGCCTTTGGCTCAGATGAGCCCCGCATCCTGCTCCCTACTTGGCAGGGAGTCTGCTTCTCCCACTGACCCTCCACCTTCTCATGCTCTCTCTCTCATTCTCTCTCTCTCTCAAATAATAAATAAAAATCTTTTTTAAAAAATTCATTTCGGGGACGCCTGGGTGGCTCAGTTGGTTAAGCGGCTGCCTTCGGCTCAGGTCATGATCCCAGCGTCCTGGGATCGAGTCCCACATCAGGCTCCTTGCTCGGCAGGGAGCCTGCTTCTCCCTCTGCCTCTGCCTGCCACTCTGTCTGCCTGTGCTTGCTCTCTCCCTCTCTCTCTGACAAATAAATAAATAAAATCTTTAAAAAAAAAAATTCATTCCGTACAAAAGTTACACCTAAACCAGCAAGAGGACATTTCTATGCTTTGCAGATCCCTCTTAGGGAATTTAGATTTTGCTACAGACGTATTTTTGTTTGATTATGGGGTGCTGCTTTCTGAAATGTGGTAATACTCCGAATTCCAAAATATACCTGGTCCCAAGGGTCTTGGACAGGGGCTGTGCCTGATTCTACTGTTGAAGATCTGTTGTATTAGTTAATACCTTCCTTGAAAAGCCCAAACTCTCCAGAAGGAGTCATTCACAACACACAATAAATCTGTCCCCCTGCTGTCCTCCTAAAACCTAGCTGACATTGCCTGAATGGAGAAAGGAACCAGGGGCCCAAGATGGTTCTGGACCATGTGACATCTGGGAGAATGGAGCATGCCTGGAGAGGCCCTGAGGAAAGGGAAAGCTCTGGGATACCTGGAGATCCGGGCGGACACCTGGTATCTGTGCTGAGGCCAAGGCAAACTCTGCCTAATTTAAAATTCAAACCACAAAGCCCAAAACACAAATCAGAAACTCTCCTCCTCCTCCCACCTGTTCTATAAGCCCTGTTCCCAGAACCCAAATTGAGGCCCCTACTATTAGTAAATTACTACTTTAAGATGTTATTAAATAGGGGCGGCTGGGTGGCTCAGCCCAAGCATCTGCCTTGGGCTCAGGTCATGATCTCAGGGTCCTGGGATCCAGCCCCACTTCCGGCTCCCTGCTCAGCTGAGGTCTGCTTCACCCTCTCCCTCTGCCTCCTCCCTCCTGCTCATGCTCATGGCTCTGTCTCTCTCTCTTCCAAACACATAAATAGAATCTTAAAAAAAAAAAAAAAAAAGATGCTATTAAATTAAAAGCTTTATAAGTCAGGCTAGTAACCTAACATCATTGTTTTTATGGCAAAATGTGTTCCACATTCCAAATAATCAACTTGCAAATGATCATTAGGAACAGAGAGCGCTTCTGTAAGTTCCCTGCCAGGGGACAGCCTTTCTGAATTTATTTCACAGGTGGGAAAACCTCCAGTCAGGCCTGCTGCTGGGGGGAGTGGGGGGATGTAGTGGCTACTTTGTAGGAAACACTGCAACAACCAGTGATGAAACATACAGACATGTTGTTACCAGAATACACAATCTCAAATCAAACTGGGAGCTATGATAACTGAGTTCCTCCGGCCTCAGACTCTATCTCTAACAAAGGTGCCAGTGGATACCCTATAAACTCACAGTATAAGATGGAAATATCTAGAGTTTTAGAAATGGTCCCTAACCTCCCCCCCCAACAAAAGCATAATGTAGTATCATCCGTCATTTGAGAACCAATCTACATGTTCAACCTGTACCACCTTTTAAAAGGACAACAGCAATCAACATTTCCTGACTATCCCTGTCCCCCAATGCCCCATGTTTTGCCCTCATCGTCTATGGAACATACACTACAACTCTGTGGAGAAGGTATTTAACAGCCCCATTTTCAGAGATAAGCAAGGCTCAGAGAATGGGATCTGCCAGGCAGAGCCAGGTCTGTACAACTCTAAAATTCAAGGTTTTCATCACTACACTGTCTGAGCGAAGTAGTTCTTTCTACTTGTTCCAAAATGTCCTGTTTCAAACTTCAAAGAAGGACCACCTCCCGGCACCTGGCTCTCTCCAGCCTTAGATATCCTCCCTGAGCCTTCATCTTTTTTAGTGCATGGGCTCTCTCCCCAGCCACCCAACTCTGGAAACACATTCATCTCACTGAGAATTCTGGTTGGCTTCTATCTCTCACAGGCAATACCAGAACATCTGAGGGCATAGGCACAGAAGTTTTGTACTAAATGAAGTAAATGTCTGGTTTCAGATGCCATAAGAGACCGTACCCAGCTCTTTGTTCATCTATTTGATGGGGGAAGAGGGAAATGCTTTTTTTGATCTTCATACTGTCTCCTTCCTGAGACCTCTCCAGATCCCCAAACGCAAGACAGTTAGAAGGAATATCCAATGCGTTCAAAACATTAGCTGTGTTTGGCCAACCTACTGGCCCTGTCAGAATTTTAAAATTATCTGCGGTAAGTCCTTCCTAGCTCGGGTGCGGGGAGGTGCGCTCAGCAAACAGCCTTCCCCTCCTCCAGGAAATGGGTCTCTCTGCAAGATCCTTCCCCTAGTACTTCCCAGTTATTTGAGATGAACTAAAGCCAGGCCACAGTGTAAATAAAAGTTACAGATCGTGATGCCGGGGAGACTCATCTTGCACAACCAGCTTTTTTAAATTAGTGGTTTACACAACCAAGGGCAGTTTCTCTCAATACATGTTCAGCCACGGAAACAAACTGCACAGCCCCGCCTCCAGGAGGGAGAGAGGGGAGGTGGATGAGGGTGGGCAGGGTGTGGAGGAGTCTGGAAACCGGGTGGAGACAGGCCCAGGCCCACAGAGCAGCACCCCTCACCCCGGGAGCAGGGGCTAATAAAGAAGGCAGCCACAGGAATCACTACCGCCCCCATCCCTGGCAGCTTCCCCAGCAGCTCAAGAGCTGACTTCAGCACGCACAGCCCAGATGCGGAAAAGGTCTCCCCTTCTGGCCACGGCGCTGCCCACCGGTCCCTCGGGCTGCCCGGGCTCCCCAGGTTCAGGTGTTGCCCCCCCCCCGCCCCCCCCACCCCCCCCCTGGGGCGCCCCCCACACCACCCCCCTTCCCCGCCCCCGCGCCCCTACCCGACCCCTGTAGGGCCCGGCCCGTCCTACCTGACGGCGACTGCCGCTCGCCCTCAGCCATCTTCCTCCCGCCAGGAGCCGGCCCGGATGCCTGCAGTCCCCTCTCACCTTTCACCCCCGCACCCCTTCCCTTTCCCCGGCTTCACCAGGCGCTCAGAGCTTTCTGAAAAGAAAGGAGCACCAGCCGGCTATAACCGAAAACCGAGAATTAAAGTCACCCCCGTGAAGACGACCGCCATGCTGGTGCGGGGCACGCAAGGAGCATGCCCAGCAACGGCCGGCTCGCGGCTGCGGCGCTCACGAGGAGCCGGCCGCCATGTTGGTTCGGGGCAGCTAGGAGCATGCGCGCCAACGGCAGGCTCGCCTCCCTACCCGCTAGCGGGCGCCCGGCCGCGGGAGCGCGGCAGCCATGCTTGTGCGGGGCGCGTCCCACCTGTCATCTTTGACCCTGTCCCGAGGCACATTAGAGGCCGTTCCCTTATTGACATGGTCGTGTTTTCCTGCCGCTCTGAGAGTAGCGCTCAAGGACAGCAAGCGGACTGAGAGGGGTGCACGCTACTGTCTCTAACAGCTTAGAGAGCATTTGGAGGTGGGAGACGGCGAGCTGGACAGGGGCCTCTTTTACCACTCTTCCTGGGCTCCACTGCCTCGCGGGGTCTCGCGACCACTAAGCGCGCCCTCGGCCCCGCCCCCGTGCAGCCCCGCCCCACGCTGTGGTCCCGCCCCACGCTGTGGTCCAGCACCGCGCTCGCAGCTTGCGGCCCCGGCCCGCAACCGGCTGGTGGCCCCGCCCGGAGAATCCTCCTCCCGGGGATCCCCAGCCCGCCGCCCGCCGGGCCCGGTGGGTGGGCGCCGGGCCGCCTCTACCGGCCGGTGGCGGTGACGCGGCGACCTTGGCCCGGAGGCACTAACGGGGACCCACCAACGGCGGCGGCGGAGGCAGCGGCGCGGACTTTGCTCAGTGCGGAGGACCGAGCGGACTGTGTGTCCGCGGGCGAGCCGCGGCGATGTTGGCTTTCGCGGCCAGGACCGTGGTGAGTGCGGGGAGGAACCCGGATGGACGGGCCCTGGAAGGGGCGGGCGGGCCGAGAGTCGGGCCAGCCAGACACGCAGCTGCGCGGGAATGGAGAAACGGGCCTTGGAAGCGACGCGGCCGTGGCTACTGTCCTGCCCGGCCAACAGCTGCTGGGGTGGGATCGGCAGGTGGACTAACCTTGCTTGGCAGAGGAGGAGACTGAGGCTCAAGGTCAGAGATCAGATCGAACCCACATCGTGTGGCTCTAAATTCCAACCACCCAGGAAAGATAGCGAAGACCCTGGCTTCAGGCAGCACCTCCACCCTTTGACTCCAAGCCAAGGAGCGGAGAGACCGGCAGTCTCTCCCCGGTTATTTCCTGACTCACACACCTGTTGCATGCTCAGCCTGAGCCATTTACGCCCAGGCCTTGCCACTTCTCCAACCACATCCAGTTGGTCGGTCTCCTTGGGCTTATCAAATGGCCCTTGGAGAATTTTGTGTGGCCGGAGAAATGCACGTGGAGGCCTCAAGCTGGGCTGCTCTGAAGGTCCTCTGAACTGGCAAGAGGCAGCAGGTGGCAGCCCCATACCCTTTGTCTCCACCAGTCCCTCCCCCCCAGCTTGTCCATGTCTACCCCAGAATCCTCCCCACAGGGCAGCAAGAAGTGCTGCCGCTCTGATATGACTTCCTTTCCTCTCTACTCCAAGCATATCTCTGCTTGTATCTCCTTCTGACTATGCCAAGAAGGATGTTCCCAAACAGACGCTACTTAGCTCGGAGGGCGCAATGTACCCATCCGCTGTCCAAAAGGGTCTTCCAGATCTCCCAGAACCCTAAGGCTCCATGTCACCCTTGCCACTGACACCCGAGTGGTGCCCTCTCTCATAGACAGCTTCTAGGTCATCCTCCAGGACCCACTGGGTGGCCTGATCAGTTTACTGCTTGGGAAACTGAGGTAAGGAGAGACTTGGCCAGAATTCCCCAGATCTGGAAACTCGAATCAAGCAGAATCCCAAAACCAGCCTCCTCCTTGAGTTTATTTTTTTGTAGCCAAAGTCCTTCACTCTTGGCCCCCAGCTGAGTGAGCCACAGCTCAAGAGAAACAGGCTTTGGTGGAAGGGAGGCCCAGAAGGGCTCCAAGAGTCCTGGAGGAAGACGGGATGAGCTCTTAGCAGCCACTGTCCACGTGATGGCCCTTTCCCAGCATCTGCCCTCTTGTACCAACCCCAATTTACAGGACTGATTTCAGAGTTGTGGTATAACCTCAGTAGCCAGGCAGCTTCTGCCTCCAGCCAAGTTTTCCATCATTAAACAGACCTGTGCAGATTCCAGCAGGTGGATTTTTTAATTCCTCCTGGCACCAGGCCCAGCCGGAGAAGAGAGAACACATTCCAGGTTTCCTCCTACTCGGATGCCTACTGCCAGCCCCTTCACCTGCTCCCTAATCCTCCACTTCTGGCCGCTGGGGAAGGTGCCTGCCACAGCCACCACCCAAGATGCCACCCTAGCCACCGAAGCCTTTGGCACTGCCCCCTCTGCCTCCCCCCTGAATCTTGGCTCTTGTCTTCTCTTTCCAGCCCGGGCAAGTGGCTGTCTCTTGCTAGGTTCTGCTCGCCCACTGGGTAGCACAGTTAGGCTTAGAAGCCCAGCCCAAGTCAGACAGACAGGGCTCAGAACCTCAGTCCTGCCATGGAGGACGGGCAGCAGAAAGAGAAGGTATGGAACGATCCTCTGCCACTTGCCTACCCACTGCTGTCCACAGCCTCGGATCTCCTCTCATTCTGTCTACCACCAGAGTCTCCCACACTTTCTCTCTCTACCACCTCTCACCCACCTGTCAGGCCATTCAGCTCTTGCTTGCCCTAGCGATGCTCCAAGGCTACCTCTGTTTCCAACCCACAGACAGATAAATACCAAGGCCTGGCCCTCACCCAGAGATGCTGTCATCTGCTGGCTCTTTCTGACTTTATCTTTTTGCCTCTAATCTCCCAGCGTGGCAAGGGTGGGAGAAAAGGAGGTGGGGGCCCCTGGGCGGTAGCAGTCGCCCCACGGCTTGCTGGCCGGCCGTCATGCCAGGGTGAAGAAGGCGGGGCCTTGTTGCATCCAGACAGTTGAGAGGTCACGCTCAGCTCCGCCACCCCCAACAAGTGCCATTCATCCTGACTTGGTTCCTAGGAGCCTCACCGGGATCAATGGCCACACCTCCCGCCCCTCTCCCTGCCTGCATCTCCAGGCTCCGGAGAGGTGGAGACACCTACCGTTTGAGGGCTGGGTAGCCAAGCAGGCACCACCCAAGAGGCTGGCTCTGACCCTGGGGATCGGCACATAAGTGCCCGGGACCCTAGCTTTGGGGCTGCCAGGGCCTCCCAGAGCCGGTGAGAGGGTGAGCAAGATGTTCTGCTGCCTGCAGGTGAAGCCTCTGGGCTTCCTCAAACCCTCGTCACTGGTGAAGGTCTCCGGCCGCTTCAAGGCCCACCAGGATTCTCTGCCCCGGCTGCCCGTGCCCGCGCTCCGCCAGTCCCTGGACCGTTACCTTAAGGCACTGCAGCCCATCGTGAGCGAGGAGGAGTGGGCCCAAACCAAGCAGCTGGTGGAAGAGTTTCAGGCGGCAGGGGGTGTGGGGGAGCGCCTGCAGAAGGGGCTGGAGCGCCGGGCCAGGAAGACAGAGAACTGGGTGAGTTCTGAGAACGGGGCCCTCTCGGAGGCTCAGGGCGGGAGAGGATCCCTTGCTGTGGTCTGCTGGTGGCCTCCCGCAGAATTTCTGGCACATTCTTCCGTGCCACGGGCTTTCTTGAGTGCTTCCTCTGTGCCTCGCACTAGGCCAGGCCCTGAGTGAGCGAGGGCACGGGCTGTGGTCCCTTGGGGCTCACATTCAAGGAGGGTGGGATGCGAGGTGATGAAACAGCACACAGGTGAGTGGATGAGTTTCTTTCCGGCGCTAAAATTGGCCGGGAGAGAAAAGGGAGGCGGGAGAAGGGCAGTGTCTTTGTTCTGCATGGGCAGAGAAGAGGTCGTGTTGGATCTGAGACAGAGACAACCGGGGTGAAGGTGGCAAGAGCCTAGCAAGAGCCCAGCATGTTCAGCAACAGAGGTTGGAATGTAGCGCGATGGCCTGGAGCTGGGGTTGGGGGGGTGAGCATCAGAGGAAGGAAGCCGGACTTGAGCTCAGTCGGAGGGGCTGCAGGGTGGCTCCAAGCAGGGCATTGGTGCTGCTCAGTGACAGACCAGACCCCCCCCCCGTTCCTTGTCCCCATCTGTCACGCAGGTGTGCGCAGCTCGTGAAAATGGTCCCCACGGATGCTCCATGCGCTTTTTCTATGCCCTGAATCTTGGCTCTTGGCAGTACTGTCTGCCACCTCTTGACACAGTGGGGAAGGACCACCCTGTCTGCTGGGAAGGAAGCGGGCGTGGGGGTGGGAGCCATGGGGTGAGACCGGTGCCAGCACCGCAAGGGGGACACCGGCAGGGAGAGGGCGGGTGATTCAGTTCTGTCTGCCCGGTGTATATTCTGGAAGCGCTACCAGGGGCCCCTGTTGGGGCAGCTGTCCTGACCTAAAGCAACCGCGTAGGGAGAGGGAAGAGGGAGACCGGCCAAGACAGGAAAGGCCGAGGGGGCAGCAGGTTTGTGGGAGAGAAACAGAGCTGGGTTTTGGCCAGATCAGGTGGGAGACGCTCTTAGTGCAGCAGGTGGAAGGGTATGGTCTGTACCCAGCAGGTGGGAGTCATCAGCTGGCGGGTGGCACATCCTGAGCTTTGGCAGGCGCTTAGGGAGTCTGCGGTCTGGCAGTTTCCCAACATTTTTAGCCCGTTACTCCTTCCCATAGAAGCTTCTAGCTGAAGGGGTAAGGGTATCCCTTTCTGCACTCACAGGGCCCTCGTGCCCAGCAGATTCTCAGCGGGGGAATGCCCACATCTGTAGGATCTGCCCTTATTTCCCAGCTCTGGTCAGAAGCCCTGAGATCCCTGGTGGAGTGGGGGCCTCTGGCTGGAGGGTGACCCGGCTGTCCCCAAGGGGAGGGAATTCCTGTCTGCCCCTCCCTGATCTATAGATGAGGAGGCTGAGGCCCAGAGAGGTAGATGGGAAGCCCAGAGCCACACAGCCGCTCTCAGGGAGGCCCCGAGCTCCACAGAGGGGTCTGGCTGACCAGGAGCGCTGTCCTCAGGCCGCAAGTCAGCAGACCACCGTTGCCCACTGGCACATGGGCGTGTGGTCTTCCCTCACTCCCTTGGCAGGGGTCTGCAGCTGATGGCCTGGTGCTACAGGCCAGCAGTTCCCCAAGCAGAACCCGAGTGGT